AAAAAACTTGTTAGAAGGTATTAAGGACTATAGTGAGATTGGAAACCTTAGTAAGAGTTTTCAGTTAGAAACATTGTGTGTGTTTTTTTGTTTTGTTTTGTTTTTTTGCCTTGGATCTCATGGAGGAAGGAAGTCCTATAGGAAGCTATACATATAAGAAAAAAATGATGGGAAACAAAATACTACATTATGAGCTGATCCAGTAGGGACTGATGAGATGGCCTCATCTTCTCTACTAAATTTCTCTCCCTCCAATCAATTACCAAGCTAAGGAATGGACATAGTATACAGCAATATAGCACATACTAGTATATATTTTGCAAACATTGTTTTCCTAGTCTCTTGTTTGTGTTTTAATTTTTATAACCATGTCTTTTGAACTAGCAAAGTTAAAATTTTTATGAAGTCCAATTTTTTTCTTTTTAAAAATTTAAGAATGTGGTAAAATATACATAATATAAAATTTACCATGTTAACTAATTTTAGGTGTATGGTTCAGTTGTACTATCATTACCAACATCTACCTCCAGAACTTCTGTCTTTCCCAACTGAAATGCTATATCCATTAAACACTAACTTTCCATTCCACCATGCCCCTCTGTCTCTGTCAGCCATCATTGTACTTTTAGTTTCTGTGAATTGGAGTACTCTAGGAACCTCATATAAGTGGAATCAGACAGTACTTATTTGTCCTTTTGTGTCTGGCTTACTTCACTTAGACTACTATCTTCAAAGTTCATCTGTGTTGCAGCCTGTGTCAAAATTTCCTTCATTTTTAAACACTGGCTAATATTCCATTTTGTGTATATACCACATTTTATCTATTTATTTATTTAGTGTGGACAAAGTTGCTTTCACCATTTTGGCTATTGTAAATAATGCTGCTATCAACATGAGATGTACAAATATCTGTTCTGGTCCTTGCTTTCACTTCTACTAGATTTATACTCAGAAGTGGACTTCCTAAATCATATGGTAATTCTACGTTTTATTTTTTGAGGAGATGCCATACAGTTTTTCACATAACTGCCCCAGTTTACATTCCAGCGGTGTACAAGGGTTCAAATTTCTCCACATCCTAGCTAATACACTTTTTTTTCTTTTTATAGTAGCCATCCTAATGGTTGTAAAGTGGTATCTCATTGTAGTTCTGATTTGCATTTCCCTAATGATTAATGATATTGAGCCTTTTATGTGTTCATTGGTCAGTTGCATATCTTTTTTTGGAGAAATGTCTGTTTAAGTCCTTTGCCCATTTTAAAATTGGGTTTTAGTTTTCTTGTTGAGTTGTAGGATTTCTTTATACATTCTGCGTATCAGTCCTTTATGAGATATTTGATTTGCAGATATTTTCACCCATCCTTCGGGCTGCTTTTTTACTTTCTTGGTGGTGTCGTTGGATGCACAGAAGTTTCTAATTTTTATGAAGTCCAACTTACCTATTTTTTCTTTTATTGCCTGTGCTTTTGGTTTCAAAATCCAAGAAATCATTGACAAATCCTATTACATTAAGGTTTTCCCCTATGTTTTCGTCTAAGAGTTGTGTCTTATGTTTAGTTTTGTGTCTTGTGTTTAAATATTTGATCCATTTTGAGTTAATTTTATTTATCTGTTGTTGTTAATTCTCACCTTAGGGAATTTTTCCATTAATTTTTAGACAGAGTAGAAGGGTGGGGGAGAGACACACAGAAATATCCATGTGAAAGAGACATATTGATTGGTTGCTTCCTGCACACACCCAACCAGGCCTGGGAATCGAGCCTGCAACCAAGGTACGTGCCCTTGATTGGAATCAAACTTGATACCCTTCAGTCTTCGGGCCAATGCTCTATCCACTGAGCCAAACCAGCCAGAGCTTGAGTTAATTTTTATATATGGTATTAAGATAAGGATCCAACTTAATATTTTTGTAAGTGGATATCCAGTTTTCCCAACAAAATTTTGTTGACTGTCCTTCCCCATTGAATGGTCTTTGCGCACTTGTTGAAAATCATTTGATCATATATATGAGGTTTTATTTCTGGACTTTCTATTTTATTCCTTTGGTTTATATGTCTGCCTGTAGACCAGTAACATATACTTGTTACTATTTTTGACCTGACAGAGTCACCAAGACTATTTATTGGTGTAGTAGAATTTTGGTTTTTGGTTTTTGTTTGTTTGTTTTGTTTCTTAATGAATGATGGTAATAAAATAGGAAAAATACATTGGGGGAAATCCTTAACCTCATACCATATACAAATATTAATTTAGGATGAATCCTGGTCCTCAACAGAAAAACAAAACTTATAAAGATGCTATTTTTTTACTTTAGGGTATGCAAAATTTCTTAGGATAGAAAAATAATAATCAAAATAGAAAAATTAGATAATCTTTATTTCACCAAAATGAAACACTTCTGCTCGTCAAAACAGCATAAAGAAAATGGAAAAATATTAGAGACTTAGAGAAATTGTTTTTCTATCTACTTATCATCTATTAATGATCTGACAATGACTTGTAACTAGAATACATAAATAATTCCCACATGTAAATAACAATCTAATAAAAAATTGGGCAAAGGACTTGACAGTGTTCTTAACAACATCAACAGTAAAGATATATACAAATTGCCAGTAAGACCATGAAAAGGTGCTAATGTCATTAGTAATCAAGGAAATGCAAATCAAAGTCAAAGCTGAGTAGCACTTCACACTGCTATAATAAAGATTTTTAAAAGTCAACATCAAATATTGGTAATTACACAGGAGTGTAGAATAGTACAACCACTTTGGAGACTTTTAGCAGTTTCTTAAATAGTTCATATGCAACATCCTCATGATCCATCCTACTCATCAGTATTAAAATGAAGCATTTGTTTACAAAAGTAATTGTGCAAGAATATTTATAGCGACTATGTAATTATTTTTTAAATGTAATTTAATGTTTTCAAAATAATCCTGTGGCAAGGTAGAATTGATAGCAAAATCTCTGAGTTGTAAGCTTTTTGAGGCCAGTCTATCTTATTACTGCTTTATTTCCAGTGCCAACCTTAAGACTTGACTAACTTGTCATATACTAGGTGTTTCATTTGAGAATCATCAGTTTGAAATGTGAGGGGATATGAAAAGAGAGCAGACAGCCCTGAATTGGCCCTTGGTAGTATTCATAGCTAACAGAACAAGCAGCGAAGCAGAAAAGACGTGGTTGAATTCTGAAAACTAGAATGTGTATTTTTAAAAACCAAGGATTGAGAGGTGTTTTTTTATCACCCCCCACCCCCCAAAAAGGAATAGTAAACAATTTTTGATATAATAGCAGGATAAGAAAAAAGTGGAAGCATTGGTGGTGAGAGTACTTTGTCAGAAGTATGCTTATAATAGAAATTAGATTCCAGAGACCTAAGGTGGTTATGGTTATAAATCACCAACTTAAGGAAAGAATTATATTAATAGCATAGAATTCAAGAGACAGTAGTTTGTTTGTTTTTTAAATATATATATTCTTTTTTATTTCAGAGAGGAAGGGAGGGAGGAGAGAAAGAAATATCAGTGATGAGAGAGAATCATTGATCAGCTAACTCGTACACACCCCCTACTAGGAATTGTGCCCGCAACCCGAGCATGTGCCCTGCTTGGAATTGAACAGTGACCTCCTGGTTCATAGGTCAGCACTCAACCACTGAGCCACACTGGCAGCGCAAGAAAGTGTTTTTGTGTTTTTTTTGTGTGTGTGTATGTTTGTTTTTTTTTTAAAAAGACATATAAATGAAGGCCTAAGCAGGCAAAGAGGGAAAAGGTGCACAAGATGGGATTCAGACACAGACAAGATCTCTTGGATATCTAGAAGGAATTGGGGTCAAAAGCAAAACATGAAGGCTTGAAGCTTTTTAAAGGCAGTTTACCCGTTTGAGATAGAAAAAGAAGTGCACAGGGAAGACATTCAGATACAGGGAAGCAAATAAATGTGGAAGCGTTGTCATTATCCATCTAGTTCTTTGCCCAAATGAAGAAGAAAGGAATGAAGGGAACTTTAAATAAGGTTTATAAGAATAATTCTTAATCTGTAGGAGAAGATTGTCAGGGTGTGTGGAAGGACTCCAGTATCATTTGAAAATGTTCCACATGTGATTCTGGATTCGGGTAATACCCTTCTTGCTCCCTTTGAGAAGCACTCATGTCAGCAGAGAATTAGCAAGCATGGATAAAAGAGTTTGTTAAGAGTTTAATTGAACTTTAGGTAAAATTTGTGGTGCTTTAGTCTGTATAGTAGCAATTATATGAGGGTGTTAATTTCTCCCCTTCGTTCTCAAGATGCTTGTTTAATAACAGATATTACCTTACTGATCTGTTTATGTGTGTATTTTTTATCTACCTGATAGAAACAGAAAACATTCAAAACTGTCAACTATACAAAAACTTCATGAAATCAATTCAGTAGCTCACAACCAGTGTTTTTCTTTTTTAATAGACTGGAATAGATTAGAAAATATTGATGTGCATTGTTTGCAGTAAGAAGTATTTGTGGTGCCGAAACCGGTTTGGCTCAGTGGATAGAGCGTCGGCCTGCGGACTGAAAGGTCTCAGGTTCGATTCCGGTCAAGGGCATGTACCTGGGTTGCGCGCACTTCCCCGGTGGGGGATGTGCAGGAGGCAGCTGGTCGATGTTTCTCTCTCATCGATGTTTCTAACTCTCTATCTCTATCTCTCTCCTTTCCTCTCTGTAAAAAATCAATAAAATATATTTTTAAAAAAACAGAAGTATTTGTGGAATTTTTAAATATGTATGTATGTATCTGAGTTAGGTGGAAAATATATTTCTTAATGTGAATTGCCATTAGAACTGTTCAAAATCCACTGGAGGTTGTTTTGATAAATGAGAGTGGACATTATAAAGTCTCTTTCATCTCTTTGTAGAATTCATTAAGTTTAGTGACATATCAATTAAACACATATATGTATTTTGTGTTTATATTTAAAGATATATGTATATATTTGTGTGTGTACTTTATTTTCTTATTAGGTGCAATGGATGAGCTTCATAGTCTGGATCCAAGAAGGCAAGAATTATTGGAAGCTAGATTTACAGGAGTTGCAACTGGGAGCACCGGGAGCACTGGGAGTTGCAGTGTTGGAGCTAAAGTGAGTGAAATTATCTGTATTTGACATTCTTTCCTTATATTAAATGGTCTAAAATATATTTTATGCTTAACAGAAAAATATCATACATAATAAAAGGCTAATTTGCAAATTGTCCCCCTCAGGAGTTTGACCAACTGGGAGGTCGACCACTCACTATGACGTGTGCTGACCACCAGGGTGTGGCATGGAACGAAGGAAGGCCCCGATTGCCGGCCACGCCTAGGGGCCCTAACCGTGCATGAATTTTGTGCACCAGGCCTCTAATTCCTTACTATAATTTTTATAATGTATAGAAAAAAATTCAGTGTTTATGAACCATATTTTTTATATAGCATATATATCATTTCAGGGGCATTATGATATAATTCAGCATATTAGGTTTCAGTGGTAAAAAGGAGTATCTTTCTCCTGTTACATAATTTTTACCTTTCTTATCCTCTGTTTCTCTCTTGTCCCTATTATGCATATTCCTATCTGTACATTAATCCACTGCTTCTGACTACAGCAAAAAACTCCATAGTGTATCTGTTTGTTTTTCACTGATAGACATTAGGTTGTCTTCAACTCCCCACTGCCTCACACTGCAGTGAGTTTCTTGTACTTGTTCTCTTTTAGAGCTTTGTGAGTAGTTATTTAGGGTATATTCCCAAGAGCAGAACTGCTAGAACATAGGGTATGTGTAGACTTAGGTGGAGTAAATAGTACAAGACTACTATTCAGAACAGTTGTACAAAACCGGTTTGCACTTTCAGCAGAGTGGAGTGCATGAATGTTTTTATATCCCCACATTTCATATTCACCGGCATCATACAGGTTCATCATTCTTGGTAGTCTTATAGGTATGAAATAATGTCTCATTGTTTTCCTTATATCACCAGTTACTTTGAGCATTTTATTCTATTTAAAATAAATTTTATTTTTATTCTTTGGATGATCTCTAAGAAAGAATAAAAGTCTTGAAATAGCAATCTTTACAAATAGTTAGAACTGCTTGACAAAGAAGCTTGAAAACTAAAATTGGGTCTAGTGAATCCTGATGGTATTCTAAAAGTTAAATACTTCTTCCCCAACCCTGCTCCACTAAGATATTCTACAGTTTCTTCTATTTCTTTTATAGTTTTACTGTCATATTTGCTCTTTAGTCCATTTAGGCCTCACCTTTTATATAATGTTGATAGGGATCCAGTTTTATTTTTTTCCGTGTAGTGAACCAGTTTTATCAGTAACTAGAGGCCCAATGCATGAAATTTGTGCACGGATGCAGTCCCTAGGCCTGGCTGGTGATCACAGTGTGAGCATCTGGCGTGGAAGGGCAGGCAGCCCTGCCCCCTGCCACCGCCACTGATCGCCATCTGCAGGGCGTTAGATGGGGGCTGGGGCCCCCGTCACCGCCGCTAGTCACCGTCTCTGTGACGATTGGCAGGGTGATTGGGCTCCCATTTGCACCCTCCTTGGCCTGGCGCCACCCATTCACCTGCTCTACCATCCCACTGCGGTCCTGCTCTTGTCAGGGCCCATCCAGGTCGGCAGCACCTCCACTGCCGCCTGCTGCCAGCACCGCGTCGCTGAGGCCCACCATGTTCTGCGCCACCCCTTGTTTTCGTGCATGTCATAGTGAGCGGTTGAACTCCTGGTCGAACAGTTTGCATATTAGGCTTTTATTATATAGGATGCTTCTTAAATCTTTTGTATTTTTCCATTGATTTGTGATGCCAACTTTAACATATATTAAGTTGCCATATATATATATATAGATATATAGATATATAGATATATATACCCATCTGTCTCTGAAATTTCTCTTATGTTCCAGTGCTCTGTTTTCTAGTACCAGTATCACAGTAAACACACACACACGCACACACACACCACACACACACACAAAATCTTCTTTTGTAAAGTTGATTTAGTTATTATGGACCTTCATTTCTTCATAAAATTGAGCATCTCTTCATTTGCTTGTTAGCATTTAGGGATTCTTCTTCTATAATAACTTATTTGTATCTTTTTCCTTAAATGATTTAAATGGAATTTTTATCTTGGATGCATTGAATTTATAGAGTAATTTGGGGAGTACTGAATTTCTATAAGTTTAGCTTGTCCCATTTAAGTACATGAAATGTCTCCACATTTATTGTTTCTTCAGTGTAGTTCTTAGGAATTTTTGGCTAGTTTTGTGGATTTTTTGTCTAATTCCTGAATACTTTCAAGTTTTTGTGACTGAAGTATTTATTATTATATTTTGTACTTAGTTATTGCTTATCAGGAGGCTTTTGATTTTTATAGGTTGGTCTTTTTTTTTTGTATGTAACAGTCTTGCTGTTGGTTTTTCTAAAAATAAATAAATAAATTATGTTCCAAAAATGAGTTTTATTTCTTACACCACAGTATATTTATTCCTTGTAGTGGTCATCAACTTCAGTACTTTGTCTTGTTCAAGAAAAATTTAATGTTTCTCCATTAATTGTAATGTTTGCTATAGGTTTTATGTCTATTATCATGCCTAAATTAAAGGAGAACTTTTCTATTCCTTGTTAGTTAAGAGGTTTGTTTGTGTGTGTGTTTGTTTAAAAATCATAAATATTGTTGAACTATATGAAGCCCTTTTTTTGTTCTTGGTTGAAAGACATAAAATTTTTCTCCTTTTATTTAAGTGAATTATATTGTTCGATTTTTTAAAAATGTTGAACCTGTTTGCATTTTTAGGATAAACCCTACTAGGTTATGATACACTATTTTCAAAATATATTTATTGGACTTAATGCATGATTAACTATTTTATTTAGGACTAGAGGCCCAGTGCACAAAATTCGTGCACTGGTGGGGAAGGGGGTCCCCTCAGCCCGGCCTGCACCTTCTTGCAATCCGGGACCCCTCGCTCCTTACTGCCTGCCTGCTCGCTGCTCCTTACCACTCGGCTCATTGCTCCTTAGTGCTGCCTCAGAGGCAGGAGAAGCTCTTGTCACCACCGCTGTGTTTGCCATCCGTGAGCCTGGCTTCTGGCTAGGCGGTGCTCCCCATGTGGGAGTGCACTGATAACCAGGGGGCAGCTCCTGCATTGAGCTTCATAGTGACCAGTCGTTCCGCTATTTGGTCTCTTTGCATATTAGGCTTTTATTATATAGGATGTGTGTGTGTGTTTACAGAAGAAATAGATATACAGACCTGAAGAGTTCAGTGAGTTTTGACAAATGTGTATACTTGAAGTAATCCACATCCCTCTCAAGATACAGAACATTGTCATTATCTTACTTTATCTGTTTTATAAATCAGTATCACACTAGCCCCATAAAATGAACTGCTTCTCCTTTTACTATTTTCATTTTTTTAAATGTCTACACTAATAAAAGAGAAAAATGGTAATTGGCGTACAACGCTACCCTTTTCATTGGCTAATCAGGGCTATATGCAAATTAACTGCCAACTAAGATTGGCAGTTAACTGCCAACTAAG